GTACAGCTGGTGAAGGTACAGCTAAAAGAAAGGCAATGGAATAAAATTAGAAGACAATTGACTTTATGTTTTCTGCTATTGTTTGTCTGTATTATAATCGTACAAGTTTTTTATGTAATAAAAGCTGATACTTACACCACCTTGTTTTTAATGTTAGGACCACGAACTAACAGTGGAATATTAACATCAAATTCATAGGGCATGGCCTTGCCTTTCACTAACCCAAACTGTCCTAGATGATAACCATGATCAGAGGTATAGATAGTATAGGTATTATCAAACTCTCCTAGTGTTTTTAACTCCTCATGAACCTATAATATTAATATAGGTTATTAAGTATGTATCCAGAATTAGAAATTATAAATTATAATAATAGAATATTGAGTAGTATAGTATATAGTCCTACCTTCTGAACCAGATCATCTACTGACTGTAATGTTTGAAGTCGTCTTCTCTGTAATAAATCTGTAAATTTCTGATGTATAGGTAACATTCTACCTGTATTATTTAATAACCACTGTTTATCTGGATTGGGAGCGAAATTCCAACTAGGAGTCCTGTAATACATAGTAACATTTCATTATTTAATAACCACTGTTTATCTGGATTGGGAGTGAAATTCCAACTAGGAGTCCTGTAATACATAGTAACATTTCATTATTTAATAACCACTGTTTATCTGGATTGGGAGCGAAATTCCAACTAGGAGTCCTGTAATATATAGTAACATTTCATTATTTAATAACCACTGTTTATCTGGATTGGGAGTGAAATTCCAACTAGGAGTCCTGTAATATATAGTAACATTTCATTATTTAATAACCACTGTTTATCTGGATTGGGAGTGAAATTCCAACTAGGAGTTCTGTAATACATAGTAACATTTCATTATTTAATAACCACTGTTTATCTGGATTGGGAGTGAAATTCCAACTAGGAGTCCTGTAATATATAGTAACATTTCATTATTTAATAACCACTGTTTATCTGGATTGGGAGTGAAATTCCAACTAGGAGTCCTGTAATACATAGTAACATTTCATTATTTAATAACCACTGTTTATCTGGATTGGGAGTGAAATTCCAACTAGGAGTCCTGTAATATATAGTAACATTTCATTATTTAATAACCACTGTTTATCTGGATAGGGAGTGAAATTCCAACTAGGAGTCCTGTAATACATAGTAACATTTCATTATTTAATAACCACTGTTTATCTGGATTGGGAGTGAAATTCCAACTAGGAGTCCTGTAATATATAGTAACATTTCATTATTTAATAACCACTGTTTATCTGGATAGGGAGTGAAATTCCAACTAGGAGTTCTGTAATACATAGTAACATTTCATTATTTAATAACCATTGTTTATCTGGATTGGGAGTGAAATTCCAACTAGGAGTTCTGTAATATATAGTAACATTTCATTATTTAATAACCACTGTTTATCTGGATTGGGAGTGAAATTCCAACTAGGAGTCCTGTAATATATAGTAACATTTCATTATTTAATAACCACTGTTTATCTGGATTGGGAGTGAAATTCCAACTAGGAGTCCTGTAATATATAGTAACATTTCATTATTTAATGACCACTGTTTATCTGGATTGGGAGTGAAATTCCAACTAGGAGTCCTGTAATACATAGTAACATTTCATTATTTAATAACCACTGTTTATCTGGATTGGGAGTGAAATTCCAACTAGGAGTCCTGTAATATATAGTAACATTTCATTATCTAATAACCACTGTTTATCTGGATTGGGAGCGAAATTCCAACTAGGAGTCCTGTAATACATAGTAACATTTCATTATTTAATAACCACTGTTAATCTGGATTGGGAGTGAAATTCCAACTAGGAGTTCTGTAATACATAGTACCATTTCATTATTTAATAACCACTGTTTATCTGGATTGGGAGTGAAATTCCAACTAGGAGTTCTGTAATACATAGTAACATTTCATTATTTA